TACGTCGAAACGGACATGATTGGGCTGTGTTCATCGTTTCGGATTTCGGAGCCGTTTTAAAGCAAACCAATAATTTAATTGACGTAAACAAGCCTGTATATGCCTTTTTCAGACGTCTGAAAAGATTGGGAACTTTTCGTTTTGGCACGAGTAGATTAGTTTGTGAGAAATCCTACGTGGTTAAACTATTCACTTAAACTTTTTTTTCTCTCAACCCAAAGCACGTTAATTACAGTCACCCTTGAATTCCCCCAAACTACCGTATAGTACTTTTCTGGGTACTCCTGTAGTATGCGAACCAAGATGGCGGACACGGAAACGTAGTATGTGTACCAGGTTAGGGTTGGGCCATAATTTTAGGTACAAATACTACGGGAGTCACTTGGCTAGTCCCCGAACTCGTAATAAAACTAACATAGCGAAAATTGGAATAAAACTATGGTCTAACTCAGGGGTTCCCAAACTGTGAGTCGCGACCCCCGATGGGGTCGCGTGAAGATTTTCCGGGGTCGCCTGATTTATTCAAACGTGCGCACACAAGTGACAAAGGTTGGAAAGTGGAATTTGTTTTGGTCGCCAAGTATCGTAAAAGTGCCTTATTTCGGATTTTCAGCAATAATTTAGCCATTTTTTTTTTGGCAAAATGGCGCCGAAAATGCTCAATAAAACTTTCATGTAATACTTAACCTTTCCAGCTGGTCGGTAGGTATTTGTTCATTATTTTGTGCAACCAGAGAAGTTGAATGCTGTGCTTGGCAGTCTAAATTGTTATCTGGCTTTCTATCATTTTGGTCGGAAATATAAGCTAACAATTTTGTCACCATAAAAACTAAAAATCGAATGCGATTAAATATTAATGTTATGGCCTAAACATATAATTCATGTCTGGTGTTTTTTTTGCAACCAGCAGGATTACAAGAAATGCTGCCTTGACGTCAAAAAAAATAGTTATTACCCTCCTGTACATCACATTCGGTAATCAATCTATCTGGAGTTATTTTGTAAACATGAGTTCGAAAAGAAAAATGACGAATTCAAACACATTTTAAACTGGATGAGGGAGGTAAAATACCACAATGCTTGCCTGATATGTCGGCAAGTTGTGTCGATGTCAGAAGAATATGATTTAAAACGGCGTTTTAGAATCTTGTGAGCCATGAGTATATACAAAGTTAAGATTTTGCTTTGAAAGTTTTATCGATGTCCAAAAGCACTAACATTTGCGGAAGCCCCTTTTCCGTTAGGAAGAGTTTAAATTTAGATATAGAAAGACTTTTGTTGGTTTTTGCATGATAAATGATAAACACTGATCAATGTGTTTGCACAATAAAAGTGTTTGTTTTGTATTGCACTGTGTGGCTATTCCCTGCACTATTGTGACCCGCGAACAATGCAAAAATAATTTTGTGGCCCCGGAGCCGACAATCTTGAACCACCCTGTTCTAGCATAATGAAAGGCGCTTGAAAGATGTGATTCCGTACCCGTTTTTCCCTATTTTACTCTCATGCTCTGTTTTACTTTCGAATTAATAATGGAGCAATCTGTAATATGTTAACATTGAACTAAAAATATTAAAGACACTGATGGAATATGCTAAATAAGATTTTAAATTTATGTATATTTAGAAGCAATTTTACTATTTCCGGAGTATCGTACGCTTCATTACAATCTACCACATTTTATCAAGTCCGTCTATGTTTCGCCAAAGAACCGTTATTATTCTGATCGAAGAGATTTTTACACCATGGTTTACATACGGTGCCATGTGTTTACAAATCTTCTGAGGTTTTTCCGGCGCATTGCCGTATTTGTTCGTATACTTTTTTTTAGGTCATGTTCACCGTCAACGTCCACTTGTAGTCGATATACAGGTACAATTGTTCCCGTTGAGACAATTGAAACGGATATATTGATTTTTGAAGTTGCTGAACGGTTCTAGTTGCGGGGTCGCGAGTAGCCTATCTGTAGACTCTGATTTTATGAAAATTGGGGTCGCGAAAAAAAAGTTTGGGAACCACTGGTCTAACTAACCCTAACCTGGTACACATACTACGTTCCGGTGTCCGCCATCTTGGTTCACATACTACAGGAGTACCCCTTTCTGGACAGAAGTACTTTTGCTTCGAGTAATTCAATTGAATCGGGAATCCTTTGTCCGTTTGATGGCTATTGAAGACAATATCTAGAAATCTATATTAATTATAAAATTCGGCAAAATAATACGGCGTTCACCGACAATAACGGTAGTTCCGTAAATAGGAGACCCGATCTTTTTAATTAGATATTAGAACCTTGGGTGTCGCTGCTCGATAACCAGCTTCGGTTCCTCGCGACTTCCCTTCCTCAGTAAAATTGTATGATTATCCCTCCTTTTTCTGAATGTTGTAGTGATTGTTTTCTGCTGATAAAATAAACTTGACTTGAATTAAAGCATTATCCCATACGTTTAAACGAAATCTTCCCGCTTCTGGATAAATCGTCTTTTTTCACAAACCACCCGTTTTTGAGGCTGTTGTAGGTTGAGCCAGTTTCAAATTAACGTAACGGTCGTGGCTGACTCCGCCAATAAGTCTATGCTTTTGAAGTAAATAACTGACTAACTATTGCCATACCCGACATGACCAGACCAGCGGCCCTGGTCTGCCATATGCTTATTCTTATCGCACCCGTAACAAAAGTATTTTAATTTTGTATTGGAGTAAAATTAGATATAGTTTGTTAGTTCAAAAAATCTGATGATTTAATAAAACCAATGACAATATGTTATTGCTAAAACAGTAAAACTTATAATTGCCACGCGTGTAATGCAAAGGGGCCGTAATGGCCAATTTGTAGATGTTTCTACGAGGATCAAATTTATGTTTACATCCGTAACAATTGCTAATCAGCAAAGACTTTACGGTGACGCAACAATTAAAATTTTTGATGACTTTTCGGTAACACAACAATTAGAATTTGGATTTACAATAATAATTCACTTGGACACTTTTTCCAAAGTTGGTTCAGTAATTTATTTTTACACCATACTGAAATCACACTGAATATACAAAAAATTACAATAAATATGAAAAATGCGTTTCAGGGCGAGGGAAGCCGCGAAAAACTAATATAGGTTATCGAGCAGCGGCACCCTGGTTAGTTGTTCCCTTGTACCACTGTTTATCAGTTTTAGGTTATATGCCAAAATAGTAAATGAAATGAATTAATAAGCAGCCAAGTTGTTCCGGGCAAAGCTTTAGTTTCTTCAAGATACGGCGTCGAAAACCTGAGGTAGCTGCCGGTGCGACGGTGTCGCTCATCGTGCTAAGCGTTTGGAATACGCTCGCCACCGCACCTCTGATTACTCTGCGTGGGTTCGCAGGTTCGAATCCAACTAACAAATCCTATAGACGCATACACGACTTGGAATGGCAACCGGACGAGAGGCCGTGGTTGAGCAGTCTTATCGGCTTTCCTCTCCCCCGGCATAAATATGTAAATCCTATCCTAAATGGAAATGGTATATTTGAATGAACGACAACTGGCAAATCACTCGCACATTTGGCATAGATAAGTTTACAAAGAATTTGTATACAAAGGATTTTACTAGGATAAAAGATCGGAAAGACATGCGGTATTTAGATCAGGATATTTGTACAAGATAGATGTTTTACCGAGAATCGATCTCCTTGTTTATTTCGGTAACAATATTCAATCAGCAAAAAAGTCAACGATGACGTAACAAATGAAATTATTGCAGATGCTCAGACACTTCGTTCGACGAGTCAGATTGATAGTCCAAGTCCATGCTTCCGAAAACAAACAATACAGTAAAACTAATCCCATACCCGACTTGGAATGGTAACCGGACGAGAGGCCGTGGTTCGCCATATGGATAAGCCGTCTTATCGGCTTTCCTCTCCCCCGGGATAAATATGTAAATCCTATCCTATATTCAAGCATGGATTACTAGAGGTCCACCAAGAGCACAATGACAATTAAGTAATTTGATTTACACCGAGAGAAGTGTCTAAGCGACCACACAAATTACAATTGTTAGGTCATTGTTGACTTGATCTGTAATGTACCAGATCACAATGTAGCACTGGTATTATATATATTTTACACATGTCCTCTAAACTCTATCACAATGTGCTTTTAGTGTTGAATCGTGGAACTAAAATATCTGCCGACTCATTCTCCGTCTTTTTTATATTTATATTGTGACAATTAATTCCGACTTCTTAATCAATAACAGTGTTAAATTGGTCAGGAGCCTTGATGACCTTCAACGGTCTTGCATACTGGCCAACACAAAACAATGTGTAAATTGGACTACTTCTATAAAAATCATCGATATTGTTTTATACTGTTTTTCATTGTTTTCATCATAGTCTAACTCTCTAAAAATTATCGATATTATTTAATATTGTTTTTTCATTGTTTGTGGAAATAAATCTCTCTCTATTGCTGATTGGTTGTTTTACGGAAATAAACAAGGAAATCGATGTTCGGGGAAACCTCCAAGATTATTTTTTCGGGGGGTCAAGGGTCGGGAAACATCCATGGGCAGAATTTACATTTTTATCCAAGAGAGGAAAGTGATAAGACGGTTTGATCACATGACGAACCACGGCAGAGTAAAATAGTAGCGGCAATAATCCTTTAACTTTATTATCAGGTCATAATCACGTCTGACCATTTACCGATAGGGTATACGGTGACCGTACATTTGAACCCATGCGTACCGGTATATCCACGGGTTCAATCTATACGGTACTATATGCGGGTGCTAAAACCCATGGGTTGGGGTTAGTATGGGTTTAACTATCCGTGAAACAAAAAAAATTTCATAGGTGCAATAGCATACAGGTGCAATTGTCATGGGTTCAAATGTACGTGGGTTCAAATGTAATGGAACCAGGGTATACGTCTGTTTTGTTTTGTAGCAATGTTTGGAAGAAAATCCCCCATTTTTAAATGTTACCGTATCATTCACGGTATTTCATGTATTCCGAATGCGATTATCAATTATTTTGCATTTCAGAAAAAAACACTGAGCGCCTTAATTTGTACCATAGAGAATGTACTAGATATCCCTGAAGATAAATTGGTGCAGAAAGATTGCAATGCAATCATGGTTGTTCTAAGCAAAATGACAGATGTAGGAGCTAACACTCTGGGACCGTTTGATGCAATTGATTGTACATGCTATGAGATGTGTCATACTTGGAATAGTTCATGTATGGGTACTTACGTTGATACGTTCCACAAAGCATTTGTGTATGCTTTCAAAGTATATGCACCTTTGTACTTACTGAACGCCCTGTGGAAACTACAAAAGAAGCGTACTGACAAGAAAAGGCTTGCAAGGAATACAATATTACAAACCTTGAGATCGACGCTGTTTTTGACAATGAATGGTACTTGGGTACTGATGGTTGTATGTGCTTATGGGAAAATTTTTGGGAAATTTCATGGTGTGTCGGGTTTTATTGTGGGGTTAATATCATCATTTCTGAGTATAATTATTGAGAGGAAATCAAGACGAGGGCTTCTAGCAATTTACATCACAAATTTAGCCCTTGAGATTCTTTTTAAAATGTCGGTTTCCAGGGGTTATGTGACCCCTATCAACAGGGGTGAAATTTATTTATTTGCTTTGTCAAATGTTGCATACATGAGTTATTTTCGTGGCTCAAATTTGCCTTCATATCTTCAGTCTGTTTTTGAAAAAGTTTTGGGAAACGATGAGACAAAAACTTACAAAATCAGGGAAGAAAGAGAACATTCCTCTGTAGCTGGGAACAAATTGATTTTTAGTTTAAAGAAAATGTGCTCTTACTTGTTAAATAATTTGAATTCTATTGGTTCCAGGCCCCCCAGTTGTTGCCATGGTGATAGTTGTGTTGCTTATTCAGCAAGAGCTGCTATCAAATATTTCTCGATTGGTTATGGGATTCAAGTTTTAATGAATTACCGTAGAATTTTCCAAGCTTTGCTACGAAGCAATTTATCTCTTTTGGGAAAGAGTTTTTCAGATTTTCGATTAGCAAAATTTTTCTGTGCTTATGTGACTGTGTTTAGAGCTATAAATTGCTTATTACGACGAGCTGTTGGTCAAGATAACCCTGAATTTTTTGGTGGAATTGCTGGATTTTTTAGTGGCTTCAGTGCTCTTTTTTATCCTAGTACAACTTTATCATTGTATGCAGTTACCAAACTACTTGATATATTCTGTATGAAAGCTGTGGCTACAAAACGTCTTCCCTTTTTCCCAAACTTTGATGTTTTTATGTACAGTTTGAGCATGGGTATAGTTTACCATGCCTCTATCTTTGAACCCCATAATATTCGACCCTCTTACTGGTCTTTTATGAAAGGCCTCAGTGGGTACAAGTTTCCACTGCTATTCAGAAAGTTGTTGGATAGATTTGGGACCGAAGCAACAAAAATGTACCCTAATTTTGTGCCAGATTTAGACCCAAAATATGTGATAACACCAGAAGTTCAGCAAGTTTTAGCTTCTCATGGCAAATGGCCTTGATCAGTGGTTTTCTAGCATTTTTGATCTATAGTCCTTTATAGACTACAAGTAAAAGAATAACTGTATTACAGTCATGAATTAAACATATCACATTCAATATACTTTTGAATTGTTGTAATTTTTGACAATAGTACCTTGTAACGGGCCATTGCTTGTGACTCACCCAGGTGCTGAAAATAAATGAAAAATACATATCATGATTGTATTTTCAGAAAATTTAGAACCATATTCAAAATTACAGCCATATTGAAAGGGTCTTAATAAATTTTATAAAATCCAAATCATTTTATTATAGAAATTATCGTATTGTATAGGTTGTCCATAAAATGAAATTGCAGAGGGAATACCATATATTGTTTTGGCCTTCACATACGTATTAAATAAAGTAAAAATACTTCAACAATTACTGATTGAAAAAAAATATACCTGGCCAAGATATATTGAGAACTGACTTCATAACAAAATTAAAATTTAGTTAAGGGACGTTATGGACACCCTGTTAACATTCAAATTGCAAGAGAAATTATTCAAATCAGATCTCTAGAATATAAAATCATTATGAAAATCAAAAATTTGCTATATATTATCATTTTGAATGTATTATTCTTTGATTTGTTATTGAATTATGTATTAAATTTTTTTCTGGTTATTCCAGATATTAAAGAAATGATCGAACAAGTGTATTTTAATTATGTGCAATCGGTGCTGTTTACCACATATGCAATTATATGAATAAATGATACGAATGGTGTTATTGTAAGTTTTGATGTATTTCAGGGGTGGTCTTGTAAGATTTTCCAGTGTTACCAAAAATTGAGAACGAACATTTGGATCAGTAGTTTTGGTCTTCCATAATGTGTGAACCAGGTTGGGGTTAGGTCATGATTTTATTTCGATTTTCCTTATTTTAGTTCTATTGCGAGTTCTGGGACTGAATATACATACCCCCTGCCTATAGGTTTCAGTCCCTTTACACAACTTGATGTAAAGTAGGCGAACCAAATTATTCTCTTATTAATTCTCTAATTAATCTCAAAATTAGTCTCTTCAGTCTTCACACAACTTGATGTGAAGTAGGCGAACAAAATTATTTACATATTGGTACACACCCTTCTGGAGTGCAGTAGTTTTTAACCCTTTGGTGAAGCGGAAACCCACGCATGTTAACACAGATTTTCCCAGCCATTGATTTTGGGTCATGTTAATATTTTAACCAGGATAATCAGAAGATTTTTGGTCAATTTTATTATTAGGTAGTGATGTTGTAATAGCTGACAACTCAACTATATTAATCCCAGCATTTTGAACAGATCTAAAACCCCTTTTTAATTGCCATAAGTATAGGTGTATTTATGATATGTTGTCTATTTCACTCTCGAAGTTGACACAGCCAGGAAGTAGGAGTTTTCACTCTGAACAAGGCTTGTAAAAGCAGTCACTGGAGACTACTGCACAATTTATTTACACTTAGGTTAGTTACGGCATGAGATGGTTGTGGCAACATTATCAGGTCCAATTAATTAACTACCATGACCTGGTTATTCTGGGCACTTAGTTGGCTAATAGTAGCCCTCAGGATTTTGGCACATATCAAATTCAACTTTCCCTATCAGATGTTACCACCCTTATTTAAAACCATATTTGAATAAGTTTGATCCATTTGTAATTTACAAAAGCTATCATACATGACTGTGTTAATGAACAGTGTCAAGTCAAAGGCCCTAGCTAAGCCTTGAGTCACTGCCACAGTCTATCCCAGCCTATTGTGCTAGGTGAACATGTAAATAATGCCAGACAGAGGAGTAAATTGATATCCCATAGTTCTGACATATTCCAACTCACTTATGCATAAATCTCGAGTGTAAAAAATTTACCTAAACATATAAGCTTTTCGAGTCAAAAATGAATAAAAATATTTTGTAAGTTCATTTTTAATATATTTATAGTGAATGGCTCAACACCAGCAGTTATTGAAGAAGAAAATACAATAAAATTATTGAATATTAAAATTTAAAAGCAGCATTTTACACTACGATTAAAGAAGACAATTTAAAATCAGATTATATACAAAAATTAATTCATTGCACACAAATAACAAGAGAAATTGAAACATGAAGTATATCACCAGACTGCGTTGAATTTCACATTTTAGAACCTCTTCCATTAATAAACTTGTATAGAAAATAACAAATATTTTTTAATGCACAGATGAGACCCGGATCATTCTGTACAATATGGAATAATGAATGAGTGTATCTAGGGGTAAAATAGACCAAAACAAGATTTGCATATTTATTCTTGTTGAGAAGATAGCCAATCGTAAAACAGCTTAATCATATGGCGAAACATGAGTTCTCATCCGTTTACATCATCCTTTTTTAGATGTGTGTATTTTACATGTTTACTCAATGCAGGATATAGAGCTCTTGATATAAAGTGTCCAGAGCGAGGATAGAGTAGTTCACTGATACATAACATATATAGGTTCATATACACCACAGAGAGATGGCAGTGAACTTGAAACTAACCGAATCAACACTGTCAGGAAATAGCTACAAAATCAAACCAATCGGTGGAGATACAGTAACTGGTTTACTTTGACTGTGGAAGCATTAAAAGAATAATATTACCCTAATTAATTAATACCAATGCTGTTGGTTTGCGATTGACTGACTAGTAGATCAGAATGACAAGAAATCACACTGAAGATCTCTATATTTTAAAACAAAAATCTGAGATATCCAAGTTCAAATTGGACAGTGATGAGTAAAGAAATGTTTAAGTTTGATTGACAGTTTTAACATTTTAGAAGAAAAGGAATGGCGTCCACATTGCTGCCCCAAGCATAGCTCCAGCAGCTACCCCATACATCATTCCAGATCCTCTGTAATAGTAGGGGTCATCATCACGAATCACATGGATAACTTGAGTGCGGGGATGGACGTAATACGGCCTGCCTTGCGTAGTATAAAGCACTTGAACTGGGCCATGGTTTGGGTAATAATAAACAGGCGCTTGTTGTTGTGGGTACGGTGCTGCTCCTTGTGTGGCAGCAGGGTAAGGCTGCTGGCCAGCCGGATATGGGTATCTTTGTTGAGGTGCATATTGGGGTACTGCAGCTCCTTGTTGGGGTCTGCCTGGTTGGTAACCCCTTGCTCTGGCCTCTATGGGTTGTTCGACCATCAACTTCCACGCCAGACACTCATCATTGGTCTCTGAGCAAACCGTGATTTCTTCTTTGTCCAAACACACGATAGTCATCAAGCAACCGAATACCCGACCTTCCGGGGGTTCTACAGCGCATTCTAGTGCTGTTTTAATGCTCGCACCATTGAAAAGGAGATTAACATTTCCGTGTTTTTCACGCTTTGTTTCGTCTTCATAATACGATAGATTTCCATCAGCTAACAGCACGAAATAGTTCTTTTTCCAGCGTTTTAACACTGTACTTAATCGCAATAGCCATCCACATTTGACTATGGGTGTAGCCATTTTAATTAGGACGCTGAATACCTTCGAAGCAAACGCACAACTTCTGAATTACGGCGGACAAAAACTCAGAACGTCGGACCGCAGCAGCGATGTTTGTTTACCAACATGCTCACGTGATACATCACGTGAAAAATTTTCTTTTTCGATGTGTCACTGGCGCGTGACATCAATCAGCCCATCGTCATAAGCAGGGCTGCCATCGATATGAACCAAAAAATAAAAACATCAGGGAAACATAATAATAGAATAACAAAGAACGAAATGTAATAAACAAAATGTATTTTTTCATTTTTAGAAACAATTTGTTTCATCCTTCATCTCACTTTCAATTTGGTTCAAGTTACACAGACTGATTTTGGCCGGAAGGCTATTGTTTTGTCATTGTGTCGGTTAATTTATTATTACGTAACGAATGCAAGCAGTTATCAATGAAGTTGTAAAATATCATTTCTGACAAATCACGCATTCGAATCGACCAATCTAAGTGCCTGGTAATAGAACCTCTACCCATAAAATACGGCAAAAATAAGGACACATGTCAAAATAAGGACGTTTCCTAGAAATAAAGACAAAAATATTTTTCAAGACAAAGTCCTTCAAAATAAGGACAAATCTTAGAAATAAGGACGTTATGGCAGCCCTGGTCATAGGTTATGCTTTATTAGGCCGCGAGCCGAGGCCCTGAAAAACGCCTAAAAAGTGAGTTTCGTAGCGCACATCAGGTAACTACCTGAAAATGATTTTAAAATGTTCCTTAAAAATTTAGTAACAAATATTGCCTTGTTCCCACTTCCAAAAGTTTCACATTTTACGGAAAAGACGCTTTTACTACAAGAAATATGTGCTACGATCTGTCCTATATTCTCTACATTTTCGGCAATGAACAATGGCTTCTGCATGACGTAACAATTGAATCGAATCAGCTGTTAGTGATCAGATGAATATTAGTTATTAATGCCCGACCTTGCGTTGAGTTGGGCAGCCTTTCCATAGCCCTGTTTAGTTATTATTAGTTAAGTTATTCTAAGACGTTGTCGAAAAATGTATGGGTAACACTTGTAGATCCTTACCACGGATATGGGCCGTGAGACGAAGCCTTGAAAACGCCCAGAAAATGAGTTTCATAGCGCACATCTGGTAACTAAATAAATTCTTCAGTTTTGTGTGAAAATGAACATACTGAACGCATTACATCTTGTTCGACAATCCTGATGTGAAATTGAATATAATAGGTTCCCGGAAATTCAATAACCATAAGTTTACAACATATACATAAGAACTATGCATTTCGAGAGCCCTACAGCACACTAACACAAATGTATTCCAGTAATGTTTTGCCTGACCAAAATCGGACTTCCTCAGTCAATCATAATTTATAAGGTAGATTACGAAAAATATGGCATACATGTAACCAACAACAAAAAATACTTTAATTGTGTGACAGTAGTCGCAAGTGACCTCGAAAGCAGCGACACCAACAACGGTGACAAATAAATCAGTTATTTCTCACTTAGAAATTTACCGGAAAAGTCAAGAAAATTAAATGAATGTACAATATGTACATAACATAGTGGACAGAAATATTACAATTAGTCTTTTTTTAGTTTATGTGGTTATGTATTTGAACGTAAGCAATATTATTTCTAGAAACAGGACTACGACACTAACAAATGTCCGAAAAAAAACAAATAAATGATACCTATTAAATTAACTGCAATATCTAATTCACTTTCTTCTGAATTGTTGACAATCGAAATCCACTATCTCGAAAATCTACGTTTTCTCTATAAGTGTACTGTGATTTTTGCAGTCAATACAAAAACAAAAATCTGTGCAATTTAAGTTGATTTTGGCACACTTGCATAAATTATTTTGACTATTTTTCGTACACTTGCAATTTGCCAACTCAAGAACTGATTTGAGGGCCACATGCTTCTTCAGTGAATCATTGTTGGGTAGGAGAGTATAATCCTTATGTTTGCCAGAGTTAAATAGACGTGCCCTGGTATCATTTATATTCTTCATATCCTCTTCATACAGTGAACAAACAAATTCCTCAGCTTTATTGTTTAATGCCTCGTTAACCTCAAAAGATCTTCATAGTTGAGAAAAAATGAATTGAAAACCTCAATGATGTCTCCAACATGAGTTGATGGGCAGTTCCAATTGCAGAAAAGTGCTAAAGTATTTCAATATGAATAGCCCATTTAAGCTGTTTGCAACTATTATGATTCTCATATACCTTTACGCTTCAAGACTTGTTTAATCCATTTTATAGCACTGATAGCAGCAGGGATTAGAGCCTGCGTTATGTCGGATTGGTGGAACATAACTAATACCTTGAATACATAATCCATTTTATCTGATGTACTCAATGAGCGTATATATGCTCATTGCATGTACTACAGTCCAGCAGTGTTTGCATATCATTACTAGACTATATCTACACTGAATTTTGATATATCACAGTCTGAAATGCCCTATGACAGTATGAGTATGAACTATAGACCAGTGATTCCCAAAGTGGGCGATATCGCCCCCCAGTGGGCGAAAACGATACAGAGGGGGGCGAAAAAGTTGAAGGGGGCGATAGGGGGGCGATTTCGCGAAACCTGTTTTATGTTCGGCGCACCTAATTCTGTAATCTGTGTGCATTCGCAGGCTTGAATCACGTGGGCGATTATCACACGCGAAAGGATTTCTGGACTCGTCTTCGCAGTAAGGTACGGTAGTTGCGTATCCCAGTGGTCGGCAAAATACGGCCGGAGTAAAATAATGTGGCCCGGGACGATTCACTGAATGGACCTTCCCCGACCTTTGACCGCGGAAAATTCTTCCCATACTTTACCATTTTAAAATTTTCGGTGTTTATTTTAAGTGTGGTTTCGCGAGTTGTTGCCTGTAAAATGGGGTATTTGTTTCAAACTATCATTCTAATACACACCATTCAACAATCTGTTTTTTAAAAGTACCGATTGTGGCGAACCACTTAACTAATAATAGCCGTTATGAGTCACAATTGTTTTGTTTATGTTTTTGTCACGCATGATTACTTACGTGCTTTTCTTACGATAACTTGTCATTCTGTTTTCTGTTCGCTTGTCGTTAACATTGCTTGAAAGTCATAATTGAATTGTCTTTTTCTTGTTAGAAAGAAGTTAGTTCGCTTCAAATGGTGACCCCGACCTCAAAAGCATACTTTTGAGAAAAGAATACGCACATAACGAAGAATATGAGTGAAGACAACAAAGCAGGCCTAACAGCGGTATCATTAAAGCTGCCGATTTTCTGGACTAAAAATCCTGCCGTTTGGTTCCACCAAGTCGAAGCGCAGTTCGCTGTTCGAAATATCACAACAGATGAAACAAAATACCACTACGTGGTTGCCGCTCTGGATGAAAATACCGCTGCCAGCATTCTTAATGTTCTCAATAACCCGCCGGAAACGAACAAGTACCAAGATCTCAAAGAGAAGCTCACTACTAAATGTTCGCTGACGGATCCTGAACGAGCTGCGCGCCTTTGTTCAATGCCTGGACTAGGGGATGGAACGGCAACGGAACTTATGGACAACATGCTTGCATTGTATCCAGTAGGTAAGACACCTGATTTCTTATTTCGCATTTGTTCGTCAGTCATCTGCCACCAGACGTCCGGTCTCAACTTACAGACATTTTAACAACCACGGGCGACGATTTTCGGAAGCTGGCAAGGAAAGCAGATGATATTTTAACTGCAAAAGGCTATGAGGTGACAAACGCTGTACAAAAAACCAGTTCGTTCAAACCATCTCATGTTTTGTCTGAAATGTGTTTTTATCACAGGAAATTCGGCAAGAAAGCCAAAAAATGTCGCCCGCCATGTTCTTTTGTGGTTTCGGAAAACGCCATAGCCGACCGTCAGTAACCTCTTGGCGGTCGGCGATTCAAACCTTTATTACGTCACAGACAAAAACTCTGGACGCAGTTTTTTAGTTGATACGGGTGCACAAGTCAGCGTGCTGCCTGCCACCGGTCATGACCGTCGTTACGGGCGACCAGGACAAGCACTTTTGGCAGCTAATGGCACCTCAATTACGACATATGGCACACGAAAAGTGCCTTTGACTATATGCGGTAGAAATTTTACCTGGAATTCACATTAGCCAATGTTTCACGGGCAATTATCGGGGGAGATTTTTTGCGCTCTCACGGACTTTTGGTTGACATCAGGGGCAAACGACTTATCGAGGCAAGCACATACGCTTGTATTCCAACCAGAACGATTACTGGCACCCCGCCTTGCCTTCACTACGTAGCCGAAAACGATTTTGCCAAAATTCTGAACGAATTTCCTGATTTAACGCGCCCCACATTCAGCAACCCGACCACTGCACACGGGGTAAAGCATCATATTGTTACAGAAGGCCCCCCGGTGCACGCAAAGGCTCGAAGATTGCACCCCGATAAGCTAGCCGCGGCAAAGGCAGAGTTTGATAACATGATTGAACTCGGAATCATCCGACCCTCAAATAGCCCCTGGGCGTCTGCGCTTCACATCGTACCTAAACAGGACGGCGGGTGGCGCCCATGTGGAGACTACAGACGTCTCAATGATATGACCGTGCCTGACCGCTACCCAGTCCCAAACATACAAGATTTTACGGCCCGTCTTGCGGGAAGGACAATTTTCTCTAAAGTGGATCTTGTTCGCGGTTATCATCAAATACCTATTCATGAACAAGATATCCCCAAAACTGCCATTATCACACCATTTGGCCTATTTGAATTTCTCCGCATGCCGTTTGGGCTTAAAAACGCCGCCCAGGTGTTCCAGCGTTTAATGGATACCATCTGTCGAGGTTTGCCTTTCGTATTTGTCTATCTTGACGACATCCTTATCGCCAGTACGTCTAAAGATCAACACAAAAAGGACTTGCGAAATCTTTTCCAAAGGCTAAAAAGCCACGGTATGGTTATCAATCCTGCCAAATGTAAATTCGGTTTAAGCGAATTAGAGTTCCTGGGACATACTGTTACAAAAGAGGGTGCTTTTCCTCTCCCCAATAAAGTGAAGGCGATAACTAATTTCCCTCGCCCTTCATCTGTAAAAGGCCTTCAAGAGT